AGTCCAGGGAATCCATTTTCGCCCTCCCGGAGACTCAAGGAAAGCCTTTGGAGCCCAGGTACGGCCAAAACGCCCCCCCCCCCGCCATGGTGCAGGAGGCCGACTAGGCCACGCCCACCATGGCCACGCCCACCCAGCAACTGGGCAGAGAACCCTTTGCTAAAATTTTTGCAGGCATAGAAATGCTGTATGAGTTGACACAGGGACCCCCAGCTCCACCCCCACCCTGGGCCATTGGGAACCGGGCCAGGCAGGTCATAGGCAAGCGGTTTTGTGCAGAAACATCTGAATACGCTGGCCGCTTGCCTGAAATCATTTCCTTTCCCCCACCCTTGCCAGTCCCCAACAAAGGCTGGGGGGCACTGCTGTAGAGACAGACACGCTCAAAAGCCTCAAGGAGTTACATCGCTGTTTCCCAGCATGCTGTGAGTGCAGGAAGGAGATAGGATTCATCTTCTCCTGGGACACCCCAAAACAGCTGTCCACAGGAGAGTGAAAGAATGACTTTCACTCAGCAAAGGATGTGTGTGTGTGTGTGTGTGTGTGTCAAAAAAAGGGAATATCTGCGTGATAGGCTGTTCCTTGGGTAAATCTGGCTGAAAGAGCAAAATGTGCGTGTCCATGGCGGAAACAGAGAAGTTACAGAGTCTTTGACTTACAAGAGTTTGTCTAGTGACCCGTTCAAAGTTACAACGGCACTGAAAAAAAGTCATGACCGTTTTTCAGTTACGAGCTTTGCAGCATCCCCAGGATCATGTGATCAAAATTCAGAGGCTTGGCAACTGGTTCATACTTATGACCGTTGCTGTGTCCCAAGGTCACACGATTCCCTTTTGCAACCTTCCAATAAAGTCAATGTGGGAAGGCAGATTCACTTATTAACCGTGTCAGCAACGTATCAACTGCAGTGATTCCCTTAACAATGGTAGTAAAATGGGACAAAATTCACTATACAAATGTCTCACTTCACAGAAGTCTTGGGCTCAATTGTGGTCATAAGTCGAGGACTACCTGTGTTTCAACACAACTGTCAACTCCTAAAACATTTTGTATACACGCTTTATAGTTGACAACAGAAAGAAGTGGGGGAAGTTTCAAAGAGTAGGTGGTGATGTGGAATCGAAAGTACATCCCATTCATATTTTCTTCAAAGACTGATTAGATGGCTGAAGCTTCTGCCGCAAAATCTAATTGGAGAGCATGATTGATGACTCTTGGCTATGGACGTTTTTCGTTGGATGATACACCCAGAGGGGTGGGGTGGGGGGAAGCAGGATCAAGAGTGACAGTGAATTACGTATCTCAGAGTCGGCTATACCCAAGTAAATGCCGGACGTAGAATAAATATTTTTTAGTTTTGGGAGTGTGGCACAAGGCTCATGATTTAATTGGAGTAACTGCCGGAATCCTGACAACACTATTACAGAGTTGGGGCCCGTAGACCATCTGGAACCCTTTCACACCCACCCTGAAATACAGATTAAAAATCCAGCATGTGTTTAAGGCGAACATGGAGGATTATGGCCTCTTTTGTGACTTGTGGACTTCAGCTCCCAGAATTCCTGAGCCAGTCAGGCTCAGGAATGCTAGTTCAGGAATTCTAGGAGTTGGAAATCCACAAGTCTTAAAAGGGCCATCATTCCCCACCCCTGATGGCTCAGGAATTCCACAGGTTATAAAAAGGGCCATCGTTCCCCACCCCCTGGTTTAAGTAAGCCCAGTTCTGCTACTCACCCTCTACCAAGGCTCCCTCGTTGGGTTTGGAATAGCCTTCTCCTTTCTTTCGGATGCGCCGAATTATTCCTCCGTCTTCATCGTCAGTCAAGTCTTTCCCCTTGAACTGAAACAGTTCTATCTAGAGAGAAAAAGGACAGGTTTGCTTAGCGCCAAGGGGAGGGCATCAGGCACGGACTGAAATTTAAAAAAAAGGTGCATGACAGTGAGCAGAAGACAGTTAAAATGACAAAAGGAAAAAAAATTAAAGATTTAAGTCAAAGATTCCTTAAAACAGAAATATTTCTTTTTCTGTGCACTTCCCACTGTTGTACTCAGGAACTGTAGGGGGAGAGGTCCTTGACTTACGACCACAGTGGAGCCCCAAATTTCTGCTGTTCAGCGAGACATTGGTTCAGCAAACTGCCCCGTTTTACGATCTTTCGTGCCCCAGTTAAGTGAATCACTGTGCTTGTCAAGTTAACGCCACGGTTGTGAAATGAATCTGATTTTCCACATTGACTTTGCTGGTCAGATGGTCGCAAAAGAGGATGTCACATCACACACACACACACCAAGACACTTCAACCGTCATAAATAGGAGTCAATTGCCAAGCCTCCAAATTTTGATCACATGACAATGGGGATGCTGTCATGGCCGTAAGTGTGGAAAACGGTCATAAACTGGGGAAAGTGGGAGTCCTCGACTTACGATCACAAATTAGTCCAAAAATTTATGTTGTTATGGGAGAAATTTGCTAAGGGAGTTTTTGCCCCGTTTTACAACTTTTCTCATCATGTCTGTTAAGTGAATCACTGCAGTTCTTGGAATTAGCGACACCGTCATTAAGTGAATCTGGCTTCTCAGTGGATTTTGTTCATCAGGACGCAAAAGGAGGTCACGTGACCTTGGGCACACTGTGACCATCATAAAAATGAGTCAGTTGTCAAGCATCTGAATGTCAGTTGTCAAGCATCTGAATCATGAGACCATGGGGACTGCTACGTGTTGTTAAGTGTGAAAAACAGTCATCAGTCCCTTTTCTCAGTGCCGTTGCAACTTTGAATGGCCACTAAACAAACTGTCGTAAGTCGAGGACTACCTGTATATCCAGAGTGGCTATGGAACAGCAAACAGATCGGGGGTGGGGTGTCTGAGGAGATGGGGGGGGGGGAGAGAGAGCAGGCAGAGCTTTCCTCCCATCCAATGTGCCCATCTGCTGTGGGTCAAAGCCCATGGCCTCAAGCTTACCTCAAAAAACAAAGTGGCATTGGCAGGTATCTTAGGGGGGCTGCCGGCAGAGCCGTAGGCATATTCTGGTTTGCAGACAATCTGGCAAAGTTCTCCAATCTTCATGGTTCCCACAACGATGTCCCATGCTTTGATCACCTCACCTAACCACACACAAAAAAGAGAAAATAGATGACAATGTTACCAGAAGCTTAGATGAAAGGCTTTGTTAAAGCGCAGCGCAACTTATCAAGGTAAGAGTCCCGCCCTTCAGGAACGGTTGGGAGAATATAGTATTTCCCTCCGGAGTTTTCTCTTCTTGCCACTTTGATGAGAAACTGAAAAGTCCTGCCTGCCAGCCCTAGGAAGGAGGGTCTGTTGTTACTTGTGTACGATTTGTAAGAAGGCAAAACTGTTGTGGGAAAGAGCCCAAAATGTTGGGGTTCTGTTCAACAAAGGGCCGAGACGAAGTTCCTTTTGCATTATGAATCTTTTGTCGCGCTAAGGAAGGTATTACTAGTGGCCTGATTTAGATAGATGATAGATAGATAGATAGATAGATAGATAGATAGATAGATAGATAGAT